CAGTCCCCCCATCCCTCCCACCCCACCCCCCACTCCAACAACACTCAGTTTGTTTCCTGCGATTAAGAATTCCTCATATCAGTGAGATCATATGATACATGTCTTTCTCTGTTTGACTTATTTCACTCAACATAATACCCTCCAGTTCCATCCATGTCGTTGCAAATGGCAAGATCTCATTCCTTTTGATGGCTGCATAATATTCCATTGTATATATATACCACATCTTCTTTATCCATTCATCTGTCGATGGACATCTTGGCTCTTTCCACAGTTTGGCTATTGTGGACATTGCTGCTATAAACATCGGGGTGCACGTACCCCTTCGGATCCCTACTTTTGTATCTTTGGGGTAAATACCCAGTAGTGCAATTGCTGGATCATATGGTAGCTCTATTTTCAACTTTTTGAGGAACCTCCATACAGTTTTCCAGAGTGGCTGCACCAGTTTGCATTCCCACCAACAGTGTAGGAGGGTTCCCCTTTCTCCGCATCCCCGCCAACATCTGTCGTTTCCTGACTTGTTAATTTTAGCCATTCTGACTGGTGTGAGGTGGTATCTCATTGAGGTTTTGATTTGGATTTCCCTGATGCGGAGCGATATTGAGCACTTTTTCATGTGTCTGTTGGCCATTTGGATGTCTTCTTTGGAAAAATGTCTGTTCATGTCTTCTGCCCATTTCTTGATTGGATTCTTTGTTCTTTGGGTGTTGAGTTTGATGAGTTCTTTATAGATTTTGGATACTAGCCCTTTATCTGATATGTCATTTGCAAATATCTTCTCCCATTCTGTCGGTTGTCTTTTGGTTTTGTTAACTGTTTCCTTTGCTTTGCAAAAGCTTTTTATCTTGATGAAGTCCCAATAGTTCATTTTTGCCCTTGCTTCCCTTGCCTTTGGCGATGTTTCTAGGAAGAAGTTGCTGCGGCTGAGGTCAAAGAGGTTGTTGCCTGTGTTCTCCTTTAGGATTTTGATGGACTCCTGTCTCACATTGAGGTCTTTCAACCATTTGGAGTCTATTTTTGTGTGTGGTGTAAGGAAGTGGTCGAGTTTCATTCTTCTGCATGTGTCTATCCAATTTTCCCAACACCATTTGTTGAAGAGACTGTCTTTGTTCCATTGGACATTCTTTCCTGCTTTGTCGAAGATTAGTTGACCATAGAGTTGAGGGTCCATTTCTGGGCTCTCTATTCTGTTCCATTGATCTATGTGTCTGTTTTTGTGCCAGTACCATGCTGTCTTGATGATGACAGCTTTGTAATAGAGCTTGAAGTCCGGAATTGTGATGCCACCGGCTTTGCTTTTCTTTTTCAATATTCCTCTGGCTATGCGGGGTCTTTTCTGGTTCCATACAAATTTTAGGATTATTTGTTCCATTTCTTTGAAAAAAGTGGATGGTATTTTGATGGGGATTGCATTGAATGTGTAGATTGCTCTAGGTAGCATTGACATCTTCACAATATTTGTTCTTCCAATCCATGAGCATGGAACGTTTTTCCATTTCTTTGTGTCTTCCTCAATTTCTTTCATGAGTATTTTATAGTTTTCTGAGTACAGATCCTTTGTCTCTTTGGTTAGATTTATTCCTAGGTATCTTATGGTTTTGGGTGCAATTGTAAATGGGATTGACTCCTTAATTTCTCTTTCTTCTGTCTTGGTGGTGGTGTATAGGAATGCCACTGACTTCTGTGCATTGATTTTATATCCTGCCACTTTACTGAATTCCTGTATGAGTTCTAGCAGTTTTGGGGTGGAGTCTTTTGGGTTTTCCACATAGTAATTAAAATTTTTTATGTGTTCATTTATTGAACAAATATTTTGAGTGCCTACTACAGGCCAGGCATTATTCTATGTCCTGGAATACTGTTCTATGTTTTGAGGAAAAAATAAAAAACAGACAAAACTTCCTTCCTTATGGAACTTATATTTTCTTAGAGGAGATAGAGAAATAAGACAAATAAGTAAAATATAGAAGAAAAATCGATTTCTCTAACAGGGTAGATTCTTTTAAGTTATTTGTATAGGTTGGACCTTTTAAAAGTAATCAATTTATTAAGTACCGCTTTGGCATTGTTAGGGGAATGAGAAGCCACATGTGAGAGCCTAAAATGGGGTAAGACACTTTGGTAGGAGCAGTTTGGTAAACAGGTGGAATTTATAGTGTGTGCTTTCAAGACTTACACAAGAAATGCAGTGCAAATGCAGGTGTAAGGATAACCACCTGTAGTGTCAACAGTATTTTTTAGGAGTTCGGAAAACTTGGAGTTTCTTGAGTGCTGGCCCAGTCCAGGCAGAGAACAGGTGGAAGGAACAAAGGTATAGATATGCTAAACAACATACATACTTGGAATAGTGACCCTTTTGGTATGGTAGAAACAGGAAGAGTGTGTGTGTGTGGTGTGCTGGGGGTACTATACGGTATACCAGGAGCAGAGGTAGGAAAAGTAAATTGAAGGTGGGTTGTATGCAACAGATTCTAGATGGTTCTGTAGGTAAATGGAGAACTGCAGGTGACTTTTTTTTAAGGTTTTATTTATTTATTTGAGAGAGAGAGGGGCAGACGGAGAGAATCTTCAAGAAGACTACCTGCTGAGCGCGGAGCCTGACTCAGGGCTCGATCTCACCACCCATGAGATCATGACCTGGGTTGAAACCAAGAGTCTGGTGCTTAACTGACTGAGCTATCTAGGCGCCCCCACAGATGACTTTTAGGACAGTAGCATGATTCCATTTCTTGTTGAGAAAATTAAGTGACTATGGGAGGATGGGTTGGAGAGTATAGCACAGAGGTGCAGGAAGACCTTTTTGGAGCATCCAAAATATAGTCCGGGGCAAGACCACCATTGTGCTTGTTTAGGGGGTACCATTATTCCTCTAATCACTGTGAAGGGTCCCTCCTGAAGCACAATCCTTAGTATATAGTGTGAATGGAGTCGTGCCATGAGGCAGCTTTGTCACCAGTAGAGAGATGAGGGGGCCTTAAGTTGGAAGGTTCTGAAAGGTGAAGAAGAGTGCAAGAGAATTTTGTAATTGATAAGATTGGTAACCTACGGGGGATGGGAGTTTTGTGGAATAATAATCATTATAGATGGTTTGAAGTTTAAGGCTGATCTTCACATTAGGTATCCACTTTTTTTCCACCTTCAATCTGCTTTTCACAAATTGCTTCATTCCCTCATTGAGCCTACCTTAAACATCTTTACTCATAATGTGAGCTTTGTTATCTGTTTTGGACTATGTGTCTAAGCTTATTAGAAGTATTTCTGAAACAAAGGAATTTTTCCTGTGGGGTACTTTGAGTAAAGGGTATGTAGGCTAAAGTATAGGGGTCTTGATATCTGTCAAACTTACACATTATGTCCTAGAATTAACTTTCCAGATAAATTATCTTATGGTATATTAACTTTTATATTATTTTACAATATTTAATTATAACTATTTGGCCCTGTGGTTTTATTTATTTATTTATTTATTTTATTAACATAATGTATTGTTTCAGGGTACATGTCTGTGATTCGTCAGTCTTACACAATTCACAGCGCTCACCATAGTACTTACCCTCCCCAGTGTCCCATCACCCAGCCACCCCATCCCTCCCACCCCCCTCCACTCCAGCAAACCTCAGTTTGTTTCCTGAGATGAAGAGTCTCTTACGGTTTGTCTCCCCCTCCGGTTTCGTCTTGTTTCATTTTCCCCTCCCTTCCCCTGTGATTTTCTGTCTTGTTTCTCAAATTCCTCATATCAGTGAGATCCAATGATAATTGTCTTTCTCTGATTGACTTATTCGCTTAGCATATAATACCCTCTAGTTCCATCCATGTCATTGCAAATGGCACGGTTTCATTTTTTTGATGGCTGCATAATGTTCTATTATATATATATATACACCACATCTTTATCCATTCATCTGTTGATGGACATCTAGGCTCTTTCCATAGTTTGGCTATTGTGGACATTGCTGCTATAAACATTGGGGTGCACGTGCCCCTTCGGTTCACTATGTTTGTATCTTTGGGGTAAATACCCAGTAGTGTAATTGCTGGGTCGTAGGATAGCTCTGTTTTCAACTTTTTGAGGAACCTCCATACTGTTTTCCAGAGTGGCTGCACCAGCTTACATTCCCACCGGCCCTGTGGTTTTAGTTAGAACATTTTATTATGGAAATTTTAACTTACCCAAAGATGGGATAGTATGATGAACCCCAATATATGTATCAACATTTTGTTGGTCTTGTTTCATCTGTATACCTCCCTGCCCTTTTATTTTTTGCTGGAATATTTTAAAGCATATGCCAGGTTTATTTTTTCACCGTAAATACTTGACTATTTAACAGTTAAGAACTCTGTTATTGTTAGTATTACCCACAATACTGTTATCACACCAAGCAATCATTTTTACTGTGATTTAGTACTGCCTAGTAAAATACCATGTCTGGGTTCAGATTTCCCTTTTGGTTTTGAAAAAAAGCCTTTTTTTTTTTTTTTTTTTAACTAATTGGATTATTTGAATCAGGTTCCAAGCAAGTGTTGTGGTTATTTTTAAACTTGATATTTTTTAAAGAGAAAATTAAGGCAGTGTGAAAACATTTTAGTATAAGCTATTCTAAGAGAGCATTGCTTTTCTGACAGCCATTCTTTCTGGAACTTCGTTTTGCTTATCTGTACGAGGAGATGTCATAATAGCTGGTATCTACTTTTTAGGATTTTTAAACATAGGAAATCTTCAAAATGGGAGTGGGTATGACCTCACCTATCTAGAAGCCTGAAGAGTAAAAAATGTGAGATTTGAGAAGGTTCGGTTTGTAGGAGACTGCAGCTCTAAGGCAAAGCACCTCAGATGGGACTTGGGATTGCTTTTGTAACTATTTGTGTAATGTTACCATGTATTTTATCTTGCTGGACTTACCTGCCTCACCTGTAAAATAAAGAATGGGTGATTTCTTACACTTCTCCTTAGTTCTTAATTTTTTGTTTTATTTTACATTTATGCTTGACTTTGACAGGATTCCCAAAGTTGGATTGGTGGAAACAATGAACCATTGACTGGCTTTACATGGCGAGGTGGTTGTGAAAGAGAAACAACAGGCATACAAGTCTGGAATGAAGTATTTGTAATCGACAGACCTAATGGAACGAAAGTAAAATTCTGTTTATACTTTCTTACTGTTTTTTTTTTCTTCCATATTCTTTTTTGAGCTATTTCCTGGTATTAAAGAGCAAAATAGCACAGAACTATTAATGTCTGATAACTTCAACATAACATATATGGGTTATTATGTCAAAATGTGTGAGATATTTAGCTTAGAGTACTTTTCTTGACTTAGTTACTGATTTTGACATTTATCATTTTAAATTTTGTTTTAATAGTCACTATTGGTGAATATTTTACTTAATATTTTAAACTTTTAAATTCCTAGGTGGCTGTGCTGCTAATGGATACCCAGGGTGCCTTTGATAGTCAGTCAACTATCAAAGACTGTGCAACGGTGTTCGCTCTGAGCACCATGACTAGCTCTGTCCAGGTGAGACATGAAATGCTGTGGTCTGATCAGTTCAGATAATCCTAATACCTTTGCTCTTTCTTAAAATGCTTTTTGAAAACAAAACAGGTCACATAGGGTAAAGGGAGGGGAAGGAAGCAAACAATGGTAAAAGACTCAACTATAGAAAACAAACTGAGGGTTGCTGGAGGGGAGGGGGTGGGGGATGGGCTAAATAGGTGATGGAGATTAAGGAGGGCACTTGTTGAGCACTGGGTGTTACATATAAATGATGAATCACTAAATTCTTTTGAAATCAATATTATACTGTATGTTAACTTACTAGAATTTAAATAAAAATTTGAAAAAGAAAAAGAAGGGGTGCCTGGGTGGCTCAGTCATTAAGCGTCTGCCTTCAGCTCAGGTCATGATCCCAGGGTCCTGGGATCCAGCCCCGCGTCGGGCTCCCTGCTCAGCGGGAAGCCTGGTTCTCCTCCTCCCACTCCCCCTTCTTCTGTTCCCTCTCTCGCTGTGTCTCTCTCTGTCAAATCTTTAAAAAAAAAAAAAGATGCACATTGAAAACAAAAGTCTTTTGATTAAAGAAAAAAGATTAAAATTAGAGTTATTTACATTTCTTATTGGTCATTTATATTTCCATGCTTTTCTGGTTCACAATGTGAAATTTCATACTTCAGTAATAAACCAATAGCCAATCCCTTTGGTTTTTCATTATAGCACCTATACTTTTTTTTTTTTTTTTTTTTAAGATTTGTTCATTTATTTGAAAGCAAGAGAGAAAGCACATGAAAGCGGGGAGGGGCAGGGGGAGAGACAGAATCTCAAGCAGACTGCGCTGAGCACAGAGCCCGACATGGGGCTTGATCTCATAACCCCAGGATCCATGACCCGAGCTGACGTGAAGAGTTGGAGGCTTAACTCACTGAGCACCCCTGTGCTTTTTTTCTTTTTTTTTTAAAGGAAAAGATATTGCATGTCATCTTTAATTGAATTCAGTCATACGGTTCCCAGATATATTAAGGTGTAGAGTAGGTCTTTTATGTTTTGGTTAAACCAATAAAGAAAAATTAAACTTAGTTTTTAAAGTAATTAAACTTAGTTTTCTACTTGATATGTATGACATCTAGTACTTTATTATTTGAACTAATGGTGGTAGAGGTGGAAGAATTAATTCATATTTAACTTAAGAAATGTATGTGCTATTTCTGTAATACACTAAGGACTTAAAGGAACTGTTTAGTAAAATCCCTTCTGTTTTTCACTTAACTTTGTACTCTAATTGTGTTTGGTATTATATCAAGTTCTAATCACTTCAAGCTAGTCCATTTCTTTTCTGTATAATTTAGGCTGATAGACTGAATTAAACCACCACATGTCATTTTGTATCTCTTTACTTTCTTTTTCCTGAGATCATCTGTGGTTGATGCTTCTCTGGCTGAAGAATTTATTGAGTGTGTTGGTTAGTGCTAGCTGGGGATGATGTACCCAGAAGTATATATGTGAATAGTAGAAGTATGTGCTCCTTCTGAGATGATGTTTCTTATTGATAGTAGATCATAGGTGATAACTGTCACAGTGTCTTGGAATTTTTGTATTGCTTTCTGGTAATATCTGGAACATATGTCCAGTCTTGATACAAGGTCCATTTCCTTCCTTCCTCAATTTGAAGTATCTAGCTGTCAGAATGGAAAGGAATTGGGATATTATTATGAGATAAAAAAGGAGTACTTTTCAGCTTGGCTTTTGTTTTTTGTAGGGCTGGGGAGCTCTGGACTACCAGTTGAGTGATGCTTTGGGGACCCTTCCAGTATCTTTTCTCCATTTCATTCTACCTTTTCCCTCTGATCTTGCAAGGTGGCACTGCTGCCGTTCCCTTGAGGCATGAGGCAAGCAGAAGCCAGTCATCGTGTGCTTCGGATAAGCTGCCTTCGTGGCTTGCCGTAAATTATAATGAGCGAATTCTCTGTCCTGAAATTGGTACCTTGCTGTTCTCTTGTTTATTTATTCAACTTTATGATAGTATGGGAGACCTGGTTTTGGACAACCACTTAAAGCCACTGTGCCACTTTCTTAATCTGTAAAATGAGGATTTTACCCATCTTACGTGTGACGGTTGTGTGGAGGCAGAAATAAGATCTAAATGAGATAATGCATAAGAAAATACTTTGTAAACTATCAATAATGAAGGTGAAAATTATTTTCATCATTGCTTTTTTCCTCATCTTTGAGGCTAGATTTCTCTTCCTTACATACATTATCTGGTTGATAGATCAATGACAAGTCCTCTTGTCATTTATTCTTACAACAAATAATTGTTGAACATCTATTAAGTAAAAGGCAGTATGCTAAGTACTAATGATCTAAGATAAACAAATCTTCTCTTGCCATTTGCAACCTGGCCCTGACAGTGAAAGTAGCTCGACCTGTTTTCTAAAAGCTAAGGCTCCTATGGGTAAGAATAGGTTGGTCATGCTTTCAGATTTTAAGTTTAGCTCTAGTATAATCACCTCAGTCATTAATTACTTTTTAAGTACCATGTTTAGAAATAGTCAGCTGAGAATGTCATTTTAGGTTTGCTGTCCTATTTTGGCTGTTTATATTCTTGACCTCCAAGTGATTCAGCTAGATTATCACTTATTTGCCGTTAGAACAAATTGTTCTATCTTTGGAATAACCCTGTTTTCTTAGACATTAGTTATTTCTCAGCAGAGGTGACATCTGCGCACACCCACTTAGCCATGCGGCCGCCTAGGTCACTTTTTAACCTGACTCGGAAGGATTGGGCCTCTTTTGCAATTCCAGTCTTTTCTCCGGTTTCCCTTCCTTGACAACACGTAGACCATCAGCTCTGGGCTCTGTGCCCTGGAAAGCCTCCTAAAACATTCTAGAAAGGGCAAGAGTGCCACCTACTGTTATTTTTTTCAGCTATCATAGGCTGGTAAAATTTTCATTTTAAGTTATTAAGACAGATGGTTTATTTAAAGTAGAAAAAAGCCATGTAGACTTGATGGTACTCGAGGCAGCCACCAAATAACTATAAACTATACCTTTCTATCCATCCACCCAAACACACACACACAGACTACTCAAGGCAACCACCAAATAACTATAAACTGTACCTTTCTATCCATCCAAAACACACACACACACACACACCACACAGACTACTCAAGGCAACCACCAAATAACTATAAACTATACCTTTTTACACACACACACACACACACCCGATTATACCAGGGAGTCAAGGCAGCCACCAAGTAACTAAACTATGCCTATCTGTCCATATACAAACACACACACACTCTATACCAGGGAGGAATATTAATCTTTGCAGAACTATGCCCCTCACGTTCATTGACTTAGAAAAATAATTGTGGAAACAATCTTCACTCTGTTAAAAATAAATGATCATGTCATAACATTAAAAAAACTTTGAAAAGGAGAAAAACATCTTTTTACGTAATATACTTTTTAAAAATGTCTGCTACTTTCTAGACCGCTTATGTATGTATTCATGATTTTTACATAATTTACCACCACTTTTCCCCCCTTAATGTTTTATCCTGTTAGGAAGAAAGAGAAAATCCTTTTCATGTGCCACTTCTTAAGCTAATGACTAAGTGATTCATTTGTGCTGACATATAAAATAATCTTCATTTCTACAAGTAAAGTTACGTACAGGTGGGTATTAAAAAAATGAATAAAAACATAATTTTGTTTTAACAGGTATATAATCTGTCTCAGAATATTCAAGAAGATGATCTTCAACACTTGCAAGTATGTATTTCTCAAAGAATGTGTGTCAAAGAATGGAAAATATAATTCTTACTTAATTGTGGCTTTCCATCTAGAAGCCTATTACAGTGTAAGAAAATTCAGTATTATATGGTTTTAAACTGATACATAACTTCTTAACTAGAAGAAATTTTAGGGTATACCCAGTCTGTTAGAAAATTAAATGCTTGACTTTCAAATGATTTTAAAGGCTCTGATGTCTGTCTCATTTGACATAGAATGGCTTTACAGTGTCTTCTTTGAATCTCTTTGGGGGCGTTAATTTAAATAACTTGCTTTAATAGTTATTTACAGAGTACGGCAGACTTGCAATGGAAGAAATCTACCAGAAACCATTTCAGGTAAATAAGTATTTTATCATTTTTAAAAACTTAACGTATAAAAAGCCATCAAGCCACCTTATCTTTTAAGTCTGAAGATATTACAACAAATTCATTTTTAGCAACAGATTCAGTGGAGTTGAAACTTATGTCATTACCACCTTAATAGTAGGCTAACAGTAGGAAAGAGAACAAATGATATAGTTAGATTGCTAACACTTAGATTGAGAGGTTAATATTTCTCTTAATTAGATGTTATTTCCTCAACTTGAGACAGTCATGTAAATTTCTTTTGTACGTAGGAAACTATTACAAAATATTAGTGGGGTTTTTTTTTGTTTTGTTTCTTGGTGGTATATTACAAGTTGAGGTTAGTCCTGTTATTCTTTCTTGGTTTCATACAGAAAAGTTTCACAATTTATTACATCTCTCCCCTCCTCCCACCCCCTCAATCCCCATATGTTTTTATTCCTTTTAAATGCCAGGTACAGAATATTAAGTCAGAAATAAACCTGGGTGGAGTTGTGTGAGAAGCATATGCTCTGCTTGCTTCTGTGGAGTCCTGTTATGACAGAGATTTAAATTTAAAAGAAAAAAGCAAAGCTAATTTCAGATAGTTTCTTTTTTAAAGTAAGTGTAATTTATAAGTTGGCATTATAAGTTGACTATTTAGTCAGATGTGTTACAGTAGGTGAGAATGACTCCACCCTGTTTGCTCATCAATATGTGAAGTCCTTTCTGTGTGACAGCTTTGCTGGTGATTCTTAGTATGGGTGGGTTTACGTCGATTGTCTCAGTCTTATGTGGTTCAGGTGGTCACTTTTATGAGATATGGGGCAGGTTATGGCTTTATTTTGTATATATGGTTGAAATACACTCTAGTTGGCCTACATCAGTTTTTCTGAACTGGGTTAATTTTGTCACTTGGGACATTTGCCAATGTCTGGAGACATTTTTGGTTGTCACAGTTTTGGAGGGAGGTTAATGCTGCTGGTGTAGTGCATGGAGGCCAGAAATGCTGTTCACCATCCAGCCACGCACAACTAAGAATTGTCTGGTTCAAAATATCAGTAAGGCTGAGATTGAGAAACCTAAGCATATATAAATTAAAAATTGAGTGAAGAGAATCAGTCTAGAATTAGATTAGTTGGTCTTTTAGTTATACAACCTTGACTTAAAATTATGATCTATATGCCCTGATACGCCTTTTGTTCATTTTTTTAAGACCCTGTATTATTGCCTGTGGTGACTCTTTCTTCATATACCATGAAGTTCTCAAACGGAAGCAATTGTTTGGTGTAGGGGCTGGGAGTATTGTAGACTTAAGTAGGACCTTGCTAGAACTATGAGCAGTATTAACCATTTGTTACTATAACTTTTGATAAGGATTGTTTAAGGGAGTGCATGATTGTTAAATAGTGATTTTTTTTTTTTAATAAAACTTTGTAAGAAATGATTTCTACTTTTTTCTGTCTGTAGACATTAATGTTTTTAATTCGGGATTGGAGTTATCCTTATGAACATTCATATGGTTTGGAAGGTGGAAAACAATTCCTTGAAAAGAGATTGCAGGTAAGCCCCCATTTCCTAGTGAGGAGAGCATAAGCACCAAGCCAGATGAAGGAGCGGGCTGTCTGGACTGCTGCTTACATTTCCAGTCTCTTAAGTGTCGCCACCGTAAATTGCACATCCCAAGTTAGCCTAGGTGGCTCCATACAGAATTGATGAAAAGTAAATTGGTTGTATTCTTGCCAAAGAGGCCAGTGCCCTTGAATAGAAATTAAGGAACAAGTATTTCTCTTTAGAACCAACTATAAATCAATATTCAAAGGATAAAAGTTTGAAGGAGACTAACTTTTTTGATTTACTTGCATGTGTATCTCTTTCTGGCCAACTGACCTTTCGAACATTTGGGACAGACTGGATAATATAATGTGCATACATTGAACACATGATGTGAGACCCTCTCTCCAAAGAATACTGTCTCCTAGAGTGACAGCCTATAGAGATAGAAGAGGGATCTTAAACATCATCTAACTCAGCTTTCTTTTTAAAATATATAATGTAACTGAACCCAGAAAAGTGACTTGCCTTTGGTCTCTTAACTGTTGATAGCTGGGACTAGGACCCAAATATCCAGATTCCTGGCCCATGCAACATGCTACACTAAAGCATTCCTAGAAAATAACCTCACAAACATGATCCTTTGTTCCTAAACGTACCCTCCCATGGAAATACTTGGGGAAACCCTCAGGTCAGATACACCCATCTACTCTCATATATAAAAGTTATGTGAAAATCCCTTAATTCATAAGTAGTAGGGTCCTCTCTTTTGATTAATAAAATTTTGCCTATAGGATGATGCATGTAGTTTTTCAACCACATTCAAAAACTTGGGTATAATTTTCTTATCACTAAAAGAAGATTAAAACCAATTCCTCATTCTTGGATATTTGAAAGGCATTTCCAGACCCTATTGTCAGAGATAATTGCAGTCATCTTTCTGGTTTTTTCAGAAAAAACGAACACAAAGCATATCAGGCATACTAACTAAACTCAGAATTATATACTTCAAAGACAAGATTTTTATCTTACTAAAGTGATACAGGAAAGTGCTCAAGTCATTAAGTGTGCAGCTTGATGAATTTATACAAATGAACATAGCCATGTAATAGCACCCAGAAGTACCCAACCTCCATCCGCTACCCCCTAAACCCTCCACTACTCTCCTGACCTCTAACAGGCCTTGTGTGTACTTTTTATGAAAGGGATCACATACAACATGTATCCTTTTTGTGTCTAGCTTCTTGCTCAGTATTTCTGAGATACTGTTGCATGTAGTTTAATTCATTTATTCTCATTGCTATGCAGTATTCCATTGTATGAATAGACAACAGTTTCTTCATTCTATTCTTGATGGAGATTTAGGTAGTTTCCAGGTTTTGTTGATTATAAATGGTGCATGTTTTTTTAAAAATGGTGTTTGAGAAGCGTCCTTGAGAGCGTATGTAAGTTATACTGGGATAAGCGTATGTGAGTTATACTGGGATAAGTAGTTATTAAAAAAATCTGAGTTTAAGATTTTCTTCCAGAAAATAGCAGTCTCTCTCCCCAAAACACTGATAACTAGCATAAATCATAAATAATTATTTGGGGTAAGTACTGAAATTCCAGTAAGTTTCAAAAGTCCTTTGGACTGCACTGGATCTTTTCCAGTTTAGCTGTTATTTTGCTCAGGGGCTGACCTTTTTATTTGTAGGCAAATTAGTACTTTGTTTTTCTCTTTGCCGTTATAAGTACTTGAAAGGCAATTTCTTAATTTATTTACTGGTTTTTAAACCACAACCACTCCTTGTTAGTCTGGTGTGGGATATTACGAGTAATTATTTGTATTTTTCTTTTTTTTCTTTTTTTCTTTTTTTCTTTTTTAAAAGATTTTATTTATTTATTTGACAGAGACATAGCGAGAGAGGGAACACAAGCAGGGGGAGTGGGAGAGGGAGAAGCAGGCTTCCCGCCAAGCAGGGAGCCCGATGCGGGGCTTGATCCCAGGGCCTGGAATCATGACCTGAGCCGAAGGCAGACGCTTAACGACTGAGCCACCCAGGTGCCCCTAATTATTTGTATTTTTCATTCGTTGGCAGCTAACACGGGAAAAAACATCTTTTCTAAGTTTTAAGACAAAGTGGGATCTTACCAAAGTGGTCAGAAATGGGTCTTTAGTAAAATTTTTTGTTGTCAAAAACCCATCTGGAGTAGCATCTGAGTTAAGTGTGCACACTTGTGAGTATGGGTGTATGTTTTCTTTAAAACTTTTTTTTCCTCTTTGCACCTTCACCTGTCTCCTTCTACCCTCAGGTAAAACAAAATCAACATGAAGAGCTACAGAATGTAAGGAAGCACATTCACAATTGTTTCTCAAATCTTGGTTGCTTCCTTTTGCCACATCCTGGTCTTAAAGTTGCAACTAATCCTAGTTTTGATGGGAGATTGAAAGGTGGGAATTCCCATTCTTGCTAAAATCAGAACTTACTTTTTAGAGGCTGAGAGTTTAAAAAAAAAAATACGTGGTTCCTTAAATTTTCTGTCTTATACTGGGACACATTTTGATGCATTGGTTAATGAGGTGATTTTAATGCTCTGTGTGGTCTGTCTAGCTTTCCATTGGTTTGTCCTTGACTGTCTAGTGTATGGATTAGCATATTTTATTATGTGGTCTATTGCTCAGCACCAGTGTCCTATAAATTCCGAAGGCTGAGAACATTTCAGTATTTCATCTGTTTGCAGTCTTTAAAATGTTTTACCAATATATTGTATTCATGTAATCAGATTCAAGTTTCTGTTTTAGGGATGATAAACTTTTTTGAGTATATTTTAGGATTGGATTGGAGCATGATGGCAAAAGGCTGGAGGAATAATGAAAGTTTTAGAGTATAGCTCGAAAAACAAAATCTAGTATTAAAATTTAGTACAATTTCATGAATTGTTTGCCTTTTGAAAAGGATATGGAATTTATTTTGGTAGTCCACAACTTATTATTTGAGCTTAAAGAATTATTGGGGGATGAGGGAAATGGAGTAGCAGAGTAAGGGGAGATATGATGTGTTTGGATGAGTTTTTTTAAATGAATCTACTTAAGTAATAGACACTGTATATTGGTGTTTCATGAAACAGAATTTTATGAACGCGTACCGGTGGGGACTCCCTTAATCTTTCTTTTTTTCACTAAGGTGTTGCCTTTTATCTCATTATCTGTTAGATATTGATGAAGACTTTAAACGAGAACTTCGAAACCTGGTTCCATTGCTGCTTGCACCTGAGAATTTGGTAGAAAAAGAGATAAGTGGATCTAAAGTCACTTGTAGAGATCTTGTAGAATACTTTAAGGTAGGAAAACTCCCACATTAAATGACTTTGTCTCAGAAATATAGCTGACTTAAAACTCATATGTATGTTCATATGTATGTTTATAAAGCAGAAAAATGAAATTTATAATTTTTGTTTTGAATTGGCTAGATCAATTTTTAAGGATATATAAAATAATAGCAGACAACTTGTATCTCTTAGACAGTGATTTTGCTTGTTTATGGAATTACCTACTTTTTCTCCAGCTCTGATACAGAGAGAAGACCATTCAACATATAATTGTCATACCACTCTCACTTGTGAATGATGATAGATATTGGGAGTGCAGTTCTGCATCTTGAGTTCTCATAAAAGCCTTCTCTCTGAGTTCTTGAGGACTTGATAAGAGCAGCTGAAAGTACAAAACTGGTTTCTGAGTTCAAGTAAATTATTCATAGATTTTTTTTTATCCTTTCTGCTCTTTTCTAGTCATCATTGCTTGCTTGCCAGAGCAAGACCATTGTCAGAGTTCTTCTTACTCATAGTAGTTACAGAGAGATGGAAGGGAAATTACAGTTAACTTAAGAGTGTAATTTTGGTTATTTATTGGACAGTTAGTTGATGGTCATTTTCATACTATTTTTGTTTAGTTACGCATTTAGAGGCAGTAAAAAGTTGAGATGAACAGTTCCTATATGAACTAATTAATCCTTCTTACTCTTAAAGCATAAATTAGGTAATTTTTTTCCTTGAACTGAAATATAATTTAACTTGGTCAAAGTGAAATACTGAGTAAAAATGTTTTCTAACATTTAAAACAATGGCAGGAGGGGAGAATTAGGGATTTCTTTTCATTGTATATATAACTTTTAAATATGAGATAATTTGTATGTAAGTTAGAATTATATTTAGAAACATTAAGGTATAATTTAGCAAGGTATTTTTTTTTTTGCAACATGTGTTTTTAATAGAGTTGAGAACAGAGTTAACTTTGGAAATGAGAGTGTATGATTTTTAAGCCTTCATTTTCCTTTTATTTATTTTTTTCCATTTTTTTCGAGACTTTTCCTTTTAAAAGTATGAATTATTTTTATATTTAATGTTTTTCTTCTGTAGAGCCAAGTTGTTTAACCTGCCAGTATAATGTCTTTTTATTTTTAGGCTTACATTAAAATTTACCAAGGAGAGGAACTTCCACATCCAAAGTCCATGCTTCAGGTAGTGTGTGTGTTATACATATATTTATTTATGAAGGAGAAAAGTCTTCGTTTAGAGATAAATGCTGGAAATGGGATCATGCTTCTTTGCATGCAAATAAATTTCAAATATTTAAGGCAATACACGTCTTGGGCCCTGAAGTTTTTATATGATTGCAGACCTTGCACACACATAGGCCATCAGAAATGAGAGTTTTCAGTACCTTCTCTTTAGTTGCTGGAAAAGTGTAGAAAAATTGCTTTTGCAGGAGATGGCTTAAAATGGGCCTGTCTAAACCAAATTTCTTCTGTTCTCTGAGTCTTTGACAGTGAATGTTTGAAATAAGGCATATTTTTCCTCAAGGATTTAGAGCTGCTTCTAGTGCATCTAGGTTTTTTTCCCTTTTTTTTTCAAAAGGTGTCTTTTGGGGGTTCCTGGGTGGCTCAGTCGGTTAAGCATCTGCCTTTGGCTCAGGTCGTGATCCTGGGGTCCTGGGATCGAGCCCCACATGGGCTCCCTGCTTAGTGGGGAGCCTGCTTCTCCCTCTACTGCTCCCCCTGCTTGTTCGCTCTCTTTCTCTCTTTCTCTCTCTCTGCCAAATAAATAAATAAATGAAATCTTGGGGGGGGGGGGAAGTGTTCTTTTGGGACAGTGTTATTTTAACCTAGTTCATTTTTTTTTTTTTAAGATTGTATTTATTGATAGTGGGAGATCATGACCTGAGCCAAAGGCAGACATTTAACTGAGCCACCCAGGTGCCCCAACCTAGTTCATTTTTTTTAAAAAAGATAAAACAGTTTAATTAAGGAATCAAGAATAATTAACGTTACATTCATGTCAATCTGTTCTTAGTAAATTTTATGTTATTGCGTTCATACTGTTAATTTTTCACTCAAATTTATGTTTAATTTTTTTCAGATACATATCTAGTTCATATTTTTAAAGATTTGCTATTTTGGGCAGTTTCTCAGTTTTATAGTAGATTAAACAGTATTTTCTTCTAAAACTCCTGCAATAAGCAGTTTTGTGGATTTAAAGTCTCTTGTGTAATACTGATATGAGAGATCAAGCATATCTCTGATTCTTGGTTCTGTACATCTGGAGGCTTGACAAATTTAGGGTTGTGTCTATTTCTCTGTTATTTACTGAGCATGTGTGGTGTTTTGTACAAACTCTTTTTTTTTAAGATTCTAGAGAGAGAGTGAGAGAGTACAAGCGGGAGGGGCAGGGAGAGGGAGGGAGAATATCAGACACTGCGCTGAGCACAGAGCCCAACACGGGGCTCGATCTCATGACCCTGACTGAGATCATGATCTGAGCTGAAACCAAGAGTCAGACACCTAACCGACTGAGCCACCCAGACACCCCTACATACCCATTTTAATAAACCTAAGCAAAACAAAATTAGACAGGCAGTCCTATTAGAAGCAATTATTTTATCTTTTACACTGGTGTTCCCTTCCATTGGAAAGGAAAACTGGAAGTTGATAATGTTTTCTCTGGTTCATTTTCAGGCTTGTTCATTATATATAATTTATTGTGTTAATTAGAATTTATAGAGCCACTGAGTATCTTTTGCATAAAATTGGCACTTTTTTTTTTTAGGCAACAGCTGAAGCTAATAATCTTGCTGCAGTAGCAGGAGCAAGAGAGATCTATTGCAAAAGTATGGAGCAGGTTTGTAACCAACATTTAAATTTGACGCTAGAGTGAGAGAGAGGATTTTTACATTTAAAATAATTGAACTAATTTGCGCTCCTTATGCATTGTCAGGTTACATCATTCCCTGATTCCCTTTTATCATCTCTGCTGGGAATAAACTAAGAAAATAATTCACATGGTTAGAGTGCAGGGTGCAGGATACAGGTGGCAGGTTATTATACAAATCATACTAAAATAGTTTTGACACGTGATTCAGAGTGCTCTTATTAGTAGCTTCTGATGTAATACTAGTTTAAGGCCAATAGCAGCTTATGTGCTAACCTTGCTAACTTGAACATTAAAGTACCTTTTTTCTGTGTTCTCTTTTACCCACTTTCTGCCAGCAGTCTTTCTGTATTCTCATGGTGTGTTGGTGGGTCAAGTGAAGTCAGGTACAGATTGCAGTGTAATTGTTTTTGTCTTTACTGGTATTAGTCATACTTGGAAGATTTATTTTGCCTGAGTCAGTTAAACATATAAGAAATAAGTTATGATTATGTGTGAGGTATTATGAATAAGTTTAAAACTCAACTATGTAGGTGGCTTGGCTTTTTGAGATTAAAAACTGTGAGCAGGGAGCTTCTTTCAAGTGTGAATTATTTCTAGCCTGTAATGTGTCCTTCTGTAATCCTGTCTGGACAGGTATGTGGTGGGGACAAGCCTTACATTGCACCTTCAGATCTGGAGCGAAAACACCTGGATCTCAAGGAAGTGGCGATTAAACAGTTTCGTTCAGTAAAAAAAATGGGTGGAGATGAATTCTGCCATCGTTATCAGGACCAGCTTGAAGCTGAAATTGAAGAAACCTATGCAAATTTTATAAAGCACAATGATGGCAAAAATATCTTCTATGCTGCTCGTACTCCTGCCACACTGTTTGCAGTCATGTTTGCTATGTATATAATCTCAGGACTGACTGGCTTCATTGGCCTAAACTCTATAGCCGTCTTGTGTAACCTTATCATGGGGTTAGCACTGACATCTCTTTGTACTTGGGCATATGTAAAATACTCTGGGGAGTTCAGAGAAATTGGAACAGTGATTGATCAGATTGCTGAAACTCTATGGGAACAGGTTGGTATCTATCTTTTGGTTTTCAGTGACTAATTTCATCCCCGTGACACTTCCCCACCCTTCTCCTGCAGTATTTGCAAACACCTACTTTTCCTTTATATGAGGAATGTCAAAGGATGTTTTCTGTTTTGTTTGGTTGTATAATCTGAATATCAATTATGAACCGGAGAATTTTTTTCTTAAAGTCATAATTATAGTGTGCTTTGATTGGCTGAAATCTGTAATATCCTTTCGATAGATTCTTAGTCACAGGCCTGATGATGCCAGACCATGGGCAGGGCCAGAGTCTCTAAGGATTTTTTTCTTAGAGGAAAGAAAATACAGTCAGTGTAAGGAAGAGAAATTTGGAAGTGCAGTGCTTTAGGAAAGCAAAAGAAGTTTTGTAGTAATACTGGCAAAAAGCAATGCATGCTTAATATTTGAGGAAAAATATTGGATGGCATTCAGGTCTTTGTTGCCTTCCATGAAGATAGTGGTGATTTACTGATGCACGACAAGGAACAACCCTATAGGGTTTTCTTTCACCAAACAAATTTTGTTCAACTTCTGTGGAAACACTAATGAACAAAGTGCTACAAAGAGAACCAGCTTCACGTAATCATAATCATTTACCTCAACTAGAATTCAAATCATAATCTTTACCTCAAACCAGAATTCAGAGTCGGGCCTGACAAGAATCTACTAAGGAAAACCATGTTGTATATTGGCCAACTGTGCTGGAATTGCCTGTGTTCAGAAAATTCCATTTAAGGATGTTGTCATTAAAATGATCATCGTGAAATACTTGAGCATCATGTCGAGGATCAGAATGAAAGCTGCAGATATTATTATTGATGGACAGTATAATAGGCATTTTCAGATATCTTTTCTGGGCTGATGAAGTATTGGGCTTATTTGAAGATCTAGGATATGCAGGTTCATGTTGGTTTTGGCTTTAAATTTAAAGACTGAAGAAGTAAATCATTTTTTGAGGAAGGTTTATTGGGTATTGACTTTTCTTGTTAATAATGTCATTATTATTTTATAAAGTGACCCACTATATTAATTTGGATTTTGTATTTATTCTCCAGAGAAATGCTCGATTTATTCGGATCTGATTTGGAAGCTTGTGTTTGGATATTTGTTAAATTTAACCCTTTATCTCAAAAAAAATCTCTCTTCATATTCCTTTGATACCTTCTAATAGAGGATGGACAAAAAGCTATCAGCAATCTCACTTTTTTAAAAGAAATTATCTACTTAAAAATTTTGGACCATTACTAATTTTCTGCAGCATGAATTTTAATCATTGTACAGTGTCTTACTTTGAAAACCAGTCATTCTCCTATATAGCATTGATTCTAGGACTTTAGAAGTACCATTATTACAAAACAATTAAATGGAAGAATCTAAAGTGTGTAAAAGTATTTTCATTGTAGTTAAGGTAAGTTGATCACTAGTCAGAGAAGATCTGTGCTGTGTCAACAAACCTTGCCTAAATTTTCTTGCATTTCTCTTTTCTTTTGCTTCAGAGGAGTCCCAGGAAGGTGAGAAACCCACAGTCTCAGATTCTTGTAGTCTTAAACTCTTTAAGTTCAAGGCACTCTGAGTCATTGTCCTAACGAATCACTCCATGTTTTAGGTGTTTTCCAAACTGTTTGAAGTTACTAGACGTCGAATGGTCCATCGTGCTCTTTCATCAGCACAGCGACAGAGACTGTCATCCAACAATAACAAGAAGAAAAATTAGACAGTATTTTTAACTTTTATCTCTATCTGAAGTGTTCCCACTTGTACATGTAGGACAATAAGCAGGACCGTCTGGGCCGGTCTGCATAAATGCTGTATACTTACCAGATTTGATGCTGCATATAGGGTATGGAATTGCACATCCGTCTCCTAGGAATTGTGAATGGTTTGAATAGGACGAAAGTAGTTTATGTTGCATTATCAAGCGTCTAACTGCGTTATTTGTAGCATCATAACTTTCTTTGGGAGAAGCATCTTTTTATTTCCCACATTCCTGGTTATTTTCGTCATTGCTTTGAATTGAATTTTTATATCTATTTTTATATGTAACTCTTTTTTTACCTCATGTTTTTATTTGTTTTGCACATTTCTCATACCACAGGTATTGAAGCCTCTGGGTGATAATTTGATGGAGGAAAACATAAGGCAGTCTGTAACAAACTCTATCAAAGCAGGCCTGACTGACCAGGTGTCTCATCATGCCAGATTAAAGACAGACTGACAGTTCGTCTCCTCATGGACTCCACTCTCCCTTTTTTTCATGCTTGCTGTTCAATGAGAACTCAAATAAAAATAAACCAAAGTTTACAATCAACTGTAGAAGTAGTTTAGTATAACTGGCTTCACAGATGGCTGCCACAGAGTGTGAAAATTGTTTGTTGGTTTTAAACATTCTGTTCTTGGCTCCTAAGACATGGAGATTGGCTGAGGAGCATTAGTTTATCATGCACATTTGTGCCATGTTTCTTTTATTTTTTTTTCCTTTTAATCTAATGTTGGTGAAATTTGTCTTGTGTACAAGGATATTTCAGGGAAATATTTTAAGAAGTCTATTTAGAGTCTCTTTAACACCAGTGTCCCATTGAAATTTTAATTTTTCGTGAAGTTATGAATCACTGTATCAAGAACCAGATCAGAAGACAATGAAGCCTTTATCGAGCCACTACATGAAAAGTACATGTTGCTTTACTGCCTTCAATACCAGTATTACATACGTGCATGTATCAGAAATTTCACGGAAATTACATGACAACTCTCGTAGCTAAGAAAGTGATTCTGAGGTGTACATTTGTCTTGCCTTTTTAAATTTATAAACCTGCCCTAAAAGGAGATGCATATCTGGGAAACTGAACTGTCTTTATGCAGTTTAGCCTTCATGTACATAAAATATGCCATTAATTTTATTGGGGGAGAAATTCCATCCAAAAATGTTGCCTACAGCTATGAGTTAAGAGTGTCTGTACAGTGTGTAGCTTTTATTTTCTAAAATCACAGATAGGGCATGTATATGAATTATAAATATATAAATACGATTTTGTATTAAAAGTTTTGTAGTTTATGGCAAAATCTGGTTCTGTGGTAGGCTAAGTACAGTCCCTGTGAAGGAATGTTTGTGGCTCATGTCAGTGTGTGAATGCATAGACAATTTGAAGTTTTTGATATATTTGTGATATTTATCTTCCTTGAGCACTGCAATCTCACCTCCCCTCCCCCACCAAGGGAAGTCAATGGGAATGTTTATCGTGACTTTGTCCTCTGTTGCATTTTAAAGTTATTTCCTGTAATTTATTTTCAGTACATAATTAAAAATTTGTTGTATATATAAAATGAAACTTGTGATTCTTTTTTAAGGAATCCCTCAAGTATGTATTCCATTACATAAACCATGTTTGTTTATACTGAAAAGAGTATGAGCAGGAAAACACCCACGTGAGAGCTCTAAGGTATTGTACCCAAAGCTAAGCTTGTAAAAATTATTTTTCTTTGTCTGTCTCTGTTAGGGAAAACTTGTGATTAGCCTAGGTGTAGCTGGGGATTTGTTAATTTCTTTTCTCCCTCTTTCTCTCACTTTTTTTTTTTGTGTGTGTGGTATATGTAAGGCTAACATTTTTGCAATATTTTTGTAGCCTTCTTTATAGACACCTATTATTAAAGCACCTAGTTTGGTTTTTAAGTGAAGAAAATTCAGATGTTGAGTTGCATGCCTGAAAGCTCTAAATTTACTTCGGTTGGTATAATCTCCTCCCCTCCTCCTTTCAAATCCTGTTTTTATATGGATTGTATTGTTTCCATCTGTATTAAATTGCTAGCTACCAACTCATCTGTTCTTAAAACATAAAGAATCCACTTGAAAAGTCTTTTTATTTCTTCTACCACCCTGTTTTATGAATGCTGTGGACTGTTTTTATGAATGAAAAAATAAAAAGTTTGTTGTATAATAGCAATTCTTCTGCATTTAAAGACACAGAGCTTACCTTTTAAAACAAAACAAAACAAAAGAGTTGTGAAATCTAGACCATGGATTTGGTAGTATTTCTTGTTGGAGAATGTGTTTTCCACAAAGAAGGTAAGATTCTATGAAGAATTCCAAGAAAAAAACAATTTGGTTTCAGCTGGAAGACTCTGAAAGTAACTGTTAAATAAGAAGCAATATTCAAAACTGTTGACTGATCAAACTTTGGTGTTAGTGCATTTGCTGTGGTACAATTTTATAGTAACCCATATAATATGGAAAGTTTTTAAAAAAGAAGTACTTAGTGATTTATCTTCCTAATTAAGACACAAATAATTTACTTTTGTGGAAGGGACAATCATTCACGACCCTGCTGAGTCTGTCATATATTATATATATATAATTTTTTTTGAGAGAGAGCGAGTGAGTGTAGGGGTGGGGTGGGGGTAGAGGTGGAAGGGGAGAGAGAATCCCAAGCAGGCTTCATGCCCAGTGAGACCAATGTGGAGCTTGATCTCACGACCCCAAGATCATGACCTCAACCGAAATCAAGAGTGGGACCCTTGGGCACGTGGGTGGCTCAGTCAGTCAAGCATCTGCCTTTGGCTCAGGTCATGATCTCGGGGTCCTGGGATTGAGCCCTGCATCGTCCGCTTCTCCCTCTCCTCCCTGCTCGTGCTTGCTCGCTCTCTTGCTAATATTTTTTTAAAGATTTTTTAAATCTTTAAAAAAAAAGGAAAAAAAAGAAGTGCGATGCTTAACTGAGCCATCCAGGCGCCCCTGTTGTAATATATTATTTCTCATGAAGATAGCTAGTCCTCCTCACTTCCTTGAACTTACTCTATTTGTAGTATTGAAGAGCAGTATTTCACTTGCGAGGGTTATATTTTCAGAGAACTCTGACCTGGACTGGGCTTTAGTTATTTTCAGACTTAGACAGACTAGGGGCTTCCTCCTTGCTGAAGGTGTGAGTGCTGTTGGTGTTAGTTACATTGTTTCATTATTTGGGATTAAAAAAGTTTGGTCTTAACTTGGTTAAGAACCTATTAAAAAATACACCACCAAGTTTCGGTCAACAGTGCGGCTAGCCCTGTGCTGCTAGTGGGGCAGTATATAAATCCTCAAGTGGCCTTTTTCACAGAGTCTCGGTAAGCACTTAGCCTTTGAACTAGCTACGGAATTGGCTGTTTGATCAGCTGCTCTGTGCTGGTGGAGGTTGCTTGGGTCTTTTCTCCACACAGCATTTATTCGTGGCTGAATTCCCAAACTTTGATCAGCATCAGCCTGTGCACCTGTTTTCCCTTTGCTGTCCTATTCATGGGATGATGATAAAAAACCAGCCTGGAGAGCAGTGGGCTGTGCTCCTGGCAGCTGTCTTCTCATGGCCAGTGTTTACTAATCTCACAGGGTTTGCTAACCAGAGGACTTTTCTTGGATTCGGTTAGGAGCCTCTGTCATGGAACTTAACTTTAGGGAATCTTCCAGGAGGCCTCCTGGGCAAACAGCTGAATTCGGGCTTTTCCAAGGAGAACAGAATTGTTACTTTCTCTACCCAAGTCGTAGATCCTAGGGATTTCTCCTTCAGATTTGGGGTTTGCTGGAGTTTAGGTTGAGGAATTGATCTACCCTTGACATCCTTCAGTGCAATAAAACTCCTGCATGTTCTTTTAGATTTGTGACTTTCTGGGCTCTTCGGAGCCAAACCTAGCAGTTGACCAGGTCTGAAGTGCCTCAAGTATGTACAAAAAGGTTGAGAAGAGGGGGTCACAGCCTTGTATAGCCCAGGAAGGCACTTCCACCTGTATCGGAACAACAGTCCTGTGAGGTTGGTAGGAAAAGCACGTTATCAAAGAGAGCATCCGGGGTACCTCAGGCTCGCAAACGACGACGCTACTGCACATCTCCGGGGGTTTCGATCAGTATGAAGTTTCAGACACAGACAAGTAATGTTCTACTCACGATGAAAGCTCTGTCTTGGCATTCTGTAAAGCACCAAAAGGCGGAGGAAACACGATTTTATTAATACTAAAACAAGGTGAAAATCACCCATATTACTCATACTAAAACAAGAAGTGAAATTTTCCTGTTCTTTTGATTGTGCACCTCACAGGTAACCATTATTTGGTGTGCTGTTGAAATTGCTCCTGTGCTTATTGACACGTCTGTGTATGCATAAAACACTCCTCATTTTTATTTTACCCCAAAACAATTATCCTGAATGTGATTCCGCCCATCCCCCCCCATGTAACAGACATTTTCCTAGGCCACTAAGTAATTCTTTTTTTTTTAAAGATTTTATTTATTTATTTGAGAGAGAGAGAATGAGAGAGAGAGAGCATGAGGGGGGGAGGGTCAGAGGGAGAAGCAGACTCCTCGCTGAGCAGGGAGCCTGATGCGGGACTCGATCCCAGGCCTCCAGGATCATGACTGAGCCGAAGGCAGTCGCTTAACCAACTGAGCCACCCAGGTGCCCGCACTAAGTAATTCTTTATGCTCATGTGATGGCTTTGATTCTTCTGAGAGTAAATGGGGTTTTGAGGAGAGAACAATTAGACCTTGGATTGCTGCTTAATAGTTTTCTTCTTTTTTGAGTTTTTCCCTACCACAGGATTGGTGAGAGAGTCAGATAATAAAATGTGAAGGGTGTTTCGGAAGCAGGAATAGAAAATTTGCACTCTTTCTTGTTTTAGTGCTCCATGCTCTGCCTTTATTTGGCCAGTACTCTGATAAATGGCTTCCTGAAGCTTGTCCATCACTAACTTGTTTGGGGGATGGGGTGGGGATCATTTGAGCATTAGTTTAGACCCCCCAGTCACAAAATGTAAAGACTACTTAAAAACTTGGAAGCATACTTAAATTTTAATTTCAGGAAAAGGAGATGGACCTTGGAGTTAAAACTGAGCTTTGGTCCCATCGCCACCCCTTCATGCTTTATGGACTTGGGTAAACACTATGTGACAGCTTAGCCTCTGCTGCTTCATCTGTAAAATGGAGAGAATAGCTCTATACCTCTCTCTCAGGGAAAAAAGGCATTATTTTACATGTTTGCAAATAGAACACTTAACTGGCTTAGCAGACAGCTGGATTCTCATTATCAGCTTCCACATTCGTATGTTGCAATATGTTGTTTTGGTTGAAGTATATGAAGAAAATCTGGCCTCACACAGTTATGTAATTGGAAAAGGAGGATCTTCCCAGAATCCCAAAAGTCTACTGGGGACTCCTAGAGGTCCTCGGATTACGTTTTGAGAACCACTGTCCTCGAGTAAGAAATCCCGTTGGCAGGCATGTTACAACAGTGCCCCTGTTGGGATTTGAAAGGACAGGGTGTACGGTCTTCTGTTTCATTTCCAAGTTTGAGATGATTTTTCTTAATACTTCAAAGCCCATGTTATGTTCCTGTCACCAGAAACAGGTTGGGCCAGACCAAATTCTCCTTGGAAATAGTAGGAATTCAGACTGATTGTAAACCCATTTCTTTAAATAATCCACCACCACCACCACCCCCGCCCCAAACAAAAGTCTATTTTCTATCAATGTAAACTGTGTGCAAGAAATTTTCAAAATATAAAAAAAGTCACCCTTAGTACTTGGCACTTGTCAGAGATGAACACTGGTACCTTTCTTAAAGGTCTTCCAGTCTGTTATCTGTGTTGGTGTGTAAAAGTCAGGGTCTCTCGATTTGATACCCTGCTATATACATAATGGTTTTTTTTTTTTTTTTAAAGATTTTTATTTTTATTTATTTGAGACAGAGAATGAGAGACAGAGAGCATGAGAGGGAGGAGGGTCAGAGGGAGAAGCAGACTCCCTGCCGAGCAGGGAGCCCGATGCGGGACTCGATCCCGGGACTCCAGGATCATGACCTGAGCCGAAGGCAGTCGCTTAACCAACTGAGCCACCCAGGCGCCCCCATAATGGTTTTTTTGAAACTGCATTTTCTATTTAATATATCCTGAATCTTTTTTCATGACAGTAAATCATATTCTAAGTTTTGTAAATGGCTGCATTTTATTTTGTTAATCTTTACGTTGACACTTTGACATTTCATAGCATTGCATCTTTGACGTTTTCATTTTTGCTGTGTTAATAATACAGCAGTGGATGACCATGCGCCTCTCTGTTAATAACCAGGAGATTGGAACAAACTCCTGGAGGTAAAATCACTGCCCTCTAGGAGTCTTGTACCAAATTCTGTCTTCTCTAGCAGTACTTGAGAATACCGTCCCGCCACCAGTGCTTCTGGGACCAACCCCATCATGCCTCACCACTCGTCTCCCCCATTCAGCGTCAGAAAATGAAGTCATTTATCTCCACAGTGCTTCACATATCACTTGAGCCAGTGGTTCTCAACTCTATGTGTCAGGATCATAGCACCCCTGGAGATTGTGATCCAGGTGTTCTGGGCCCCCGCCTTAGTATCCTAAACATTCCCCAGATGGTTCTGTTGTGCAGGTAGGACTGAGAACCACTACCTACTCTTGCCCCAACCTTAACCTTTCCCTGCCTCCCCCTCCCTTTCTTTGTACTCTGTAATAATCCACTATATGTTATTAGCAAATTTGCCCAAAAATCTGTGTGTTTTCATTTCTCTCCTGAACTGAAACCTGGTTTCCTTTTCCACTTTTCCACTTTCCCAGCTGAATGTCTCCTGTGCAGCCCACTCAAGGCTGGTTTTCCCCACACCCTATATTCTTCAGGTACTAAAGGAGGGTTAGATGTCCTTGTGCTCCATTGCTGATTTCATTTTTTTTTTTTCTTTTAGCAAACAAAACAGCTTTTTCAGAGTAGTCAGAATTTTCCACTCGTCACCGCAGTGTACTGTGGGCAATCTACTGACTTCCCCACCACTGCCCCCTCCTGCATTTATAACTATAGCACGACGCTTACAGTCTTTTTGCTCCTTTTATGGTCATTCTTGGCAACCTTCCCTCCAGTAAGTGCCCCATCCCACACCATGATTTTTTTCAGCTCTGAAGGTCTCTCCTTCCACTCCATCTCCATCCGTTCATAAGTCAGCCTCCTGCTGTAGAACTCATTGCTCCCAAAGGCTAGATTTTTGACAGCAATCACTCCTCATCCTTTCAGCTCCCTTACTCCCGTATTCCCTTTCAAGACATTCTCTAATCCTTTCAAATCTATCTCCTCCTTTGGCCCCACTGCTTCTTTGTGCATGTCACCCCGTCTCACTTCCCTTCTTACTCTCCTTAGATGCAGCGGTCCAGCACTACACTTATTACTTTATACATACACATCCTTGGCCCCATTGTGGCACTTGTACCTCTTCTCGAGCAGCTGAATGTTACTGCAGAATATGAGGGAAGCCCGCTGGCTAAAGTTCCTTAAATTGCATGACTGCAGAT